TGTGTGTGTGTGTGTGTGTGTGTGTGTGTGTGTGTGTGTGTGTGTGTGTGTGTGTGTGTGCTGTACGCCAATTGTGTTGCGATCAGAAATTGACCACCCTTGCAATCACCTCAGGAAGGTTCGCAGAAAGTATGGATGTATATAGATGTGTGTATATGTATGTGTCTATGTGTGTGTGTATGTGTGTGTTGTGTGCGTGTGTGTGTGCGTATGTACGTATGTATATGTATACATACATATATACGTGTGTATATGTATGTATGTGTACGTATGTATGTGTTTATGTATGAGTGTGTGTGTATCTGTGTCTATGTCTGTGTGTATGTGTATATGTGTGTATGTATGTCTGTGTGTGTGTATGCATGCGCGCGCGCGTGTGTGTGTGCGTACGCGCGTATGCATGTGTATGTGTGTATGTGTGCGTATGGGTGTGTCTGTGTGTGTGTGTGTGCGCACGCGTGCGTGTGTGTACGTGTGTATGTGTATATGTGTGTGTGTCCGCACGCGCGTTTGTCTGTGTGTGTGTGCGCGTGTGTGTGCGTGTTGTCAACGGGAGTTGTGATAGGCCCCGTCTCCGCCGGGGCGGAGCCGTCCTCGTGGTCGGGTGTACAGTGGAGTGCAGCCGACCTGCATCAGTGGGCGAGCTGGTCGACGAGATGGTCGACCTGCACAGGGGCCACTTCAATGGCGCCGACTTCGGGAAGACGCCAACCTTGGGTGGTCGGCTTGGGGAGTCGACATGTGGAGGGCGTCGACTTGGTGACGCCGACTTCGGGCAGCCGACTTGGGTGGTCGGCTGACAGGAATGCTGGTCGACCTGGAGCTGGCGGACCCGGAGTGATGTCGACCTGGTGGTCGGCCGAACCTGGTGGTCGACGAAGGAGAGGCCGACGTCGACCTCGACAGGGGAGATTGAGGACGCCGAGCAGCTGGGCGTCGGGCGGGAGGGCGCCGGGCTTGTGCAGCCGGCGACCGACTGAGCCGGTCGACCGGGATATCCGGGCGACGTGTGCGAAGGTCGCCGGGGTAGTTCTGCGAGGCCAACCTCGGAAGTGGTATTCCTAGGTTGATGTGGCTGGTGGGCACAGTCGCTGGCGTGGATTCGACCCGGACATCTGCGCTGTACATGTGACACGGAAGAGTGCACCAACCAGCTACGCGCATCTACGAAACAGGTGCACCGTTGTCCTACGGGTGCAATGCCGTGCAGCCGACTTACTGCAGCGTTGGCACACCGTGGACTTACAACGTTGGCAAGCCGCACCTTTGCTCTGCTGGAACGCGGTCGACCAAGTCGTGCTGGCACGCAGTCGGCCGTGTTGCGCTGGAGGTCGACCAGCAGCTTTGCTAGGTCTGATGTAGCCTTGCATGCCAATGTTGTTACTACCATTGTTGTGAAATTTTGCTAGTGGAATTCTTGCCAAATTCCCCCATGAACCAGCAAGTAGTGCAAGCACGAGTAGACGACTAAAGAACGCAGACATCACACGAGCACCCACGCCTAGCCCGTAGTCTAGCTCCCGTTGCTGAAGTGTTCTTCGCACGTATGTGTGTGTGTGTGCGCGCGTGCGCGCGTGTGTGTGCGTGCGTGCGTGTGCTTGCGTGCGTGTGCGTGCGTGCGTGTGTGCATGTGTGTGTGTGTATGTATGTGTGTGTGCGCGCGTATGTGTATCTGCGTGTCTGTATCTGTGTGTCTGTGCCTCTGTGCGTGTGTATGTGTGTATGTGTGTGTGTGTGTGCGCGCGCGCGTGTGTGTGTATGTATGTGTGTGCGTGTGCGCGCGCGCGCGCGTGTGTGTGTATATGCGTACGTGTGTGTGTGTGTACGTGCGTGTATGTATGTGTGTGCAGCACGCCAATTGTGTTGGGATCTTAAATTGACTACCCCTACAATTACCTCATGAAGGTTCGCAGAGAATTTGTGTCAGTGGTGGGCCTTTTGACCTCATATTAGAGTGAATGTATAATGACTGAAAAAAATAAAGACATGCAAATAAAATCGTATAGGTAAGAGTAAAGGGGAATACGAAACGACCTCGACTAGCCATGTACTCTGAGGGGTACATTCCCTTATTGCAGCGAAATCCAACCGTGCGGCCCCATATGGTTACGGATTGTTCTGACAGAATCCTTGTCACTGCCGCTTCTCGATGTTGTCTGCCTAGTCCGTCCAGATGCTTTGTAACCGGGCTCGACTCTTCGTGACATTCCGCCTCTTCGTCTCCGTGCTTGTTGCTGCGTGACTCGACTGCTACTGTCAGGAGTGCACCGTGATTTTTTCATGTTATACTATTCGTAACAGATTGATACAGATATTCATATTGAAGTGGAAATCAGAAGTTTACATAATGGACGCATGGGATTTTTTTTTGTCAATTTTCAGATGTTACAGGCATTTAAGAGACTAGGAATTCATCCTTGGTGTCAAGCTTGAGTGACCATGAATTCCTTCCTTTTCAGCGTAAATTGTGCATATAACAGGTATTGCAAATCCAAAATGTATAAATGAAATATTCTGTACGCACTATGTGCTTCTTCACATGCCTTGCAAAAAATTCCACACCATCCAACCAAGCCGCTTCTTCCACCTCGCCGCCGTGCCCGTAACAAGCGGCAACGCGGTGTGTCGGCGGCTCCAATGTAGAATGGATGTCGTGGGCCGAACCGCTGGTTCCAGGGGCGACTTTCCCAACTTCTGTGGCAACTTTGTGCCAAACCGCCCCATAAATTTCGTACCATTTGCAGCTGAGAGTCAGAATTTTGCCCAAGTTTATCTAAACGATACAGCTGTTCTCGTTTATAGTCCGACGGACTGAGACGCCGCGCGCGTTCTTTTTTGAAACCATCAAAACGCGATACTTATAGTTCGTTCGGGTAATTTGCGTGAAGAGTGGTTTGTTTGCTACTAATCTCTGGATTTTGTCTTTTACGTAGATTCTGTTCCCCGCGCTGATCAATGTCGCATGACAAACGGGCAAAAAAAAACAAAATGAATTTTAGTTTGGGGGTCGATTAGAAGGTAAAAACTTATCGTTTACCTTGTAAGCGAGGTAAATGATTCGCTGCAAAATTTCTTGCCAAAAAAGGGACTATAGGGGTCGGGCCAACCCTAGGCGATATCGGAAAACTCTGCTCAAGGGGGAAAAGGGCATCTTTTAGCGAAGGCCTCTAACCCGGAACATTTGTTCAGCAATTTCCATCGGCGGTTCAAGAGGGCAGGAGGATGGCATAACAAGGGCCGACAACGACAAGCGGGCCGACAAACAGGCTGACTGAAAGCCTGGCCTATCAAGTGGCATCACTGGCATGGCATGGCATGGTATGGCATGGCAAGAAGGCAAGGCAAGGCAAGCAAGGGCAAGGGTAGATCGTACACCCTCTTTCGCGCTACACTGTCATTGGCTATATGGGCCCTGTGGCTCAACGCGCCAGAGGACGCCTTATAGTGGACTTTTGCACCAGTACGGTTTGACGTGGTTCGTTACTTTCAAAGACGGTCGTTTGATTGTTTGATATGGCTCGGTAGGGTACCCAGGATAACGAAATTGCGAATCACTCACCCCCTAGAGACGGTTATTGTAACAGTTTCACTGTAGCCAGTGAATCCCGTTGCCAGTGTAGCGCGAAAGAGGGTGTAGAACAAAGCGCCGCCGAGACGAGCCCCACCCGCCCTGGTCCAAACCGCCCCTGGGCACGACGAGGATAGGAGAAGGCACGAGAATCGCGTTGAGTTCAGGAGGATAACCGACTTCCGCTCCTGGAGGAGCGATACCTCTCTCCACACCACACCACCACCACCACCACTCGTCTTGGTTCATACAATAAGATACACAACAGCAGCACTGTTGGAGATTTCGGTTCTGTTTATGCTGGCGAGTAGTAACAATGGTCGTCGCAGGACGCACACGAGCTTAGTCCGAGTGGGTCCCGAATAGGTGCCATGACTTTACGAGAGGACGACTGTTAGCAGAGGTGAAATAGAAGCGCGGTACTGGCTGTCGCGGGGTGCACATGAGCTTGCCTCGCCGCCGCTGCCGCTTTTTATAGCACAATAGTAGCTGTTGCCAGCTTGCAGGCGCCGCGCCGTTCTCACGAGTCGTACCTATGACATCGCCGTGTAGTGACAGCACCGCGCAATTTCCATCGCCAAGTCGTCGCTGCAGAGATTCTCAGCGGCAAGGAGTCGCGATATAGCCTCGGAAACTAATAGGCCGCGTCAGCATTGCTTCGGGCGTTTACCATTAAGTGACTCCCACTGCATCACAGCTCCTCACACTCTGCAGCGCTCATTAGAGCAATAACGAATTTACGTCCAGCGTACGAATATAAGAATACATAGACTGCCATGGCCCCTTTAAATGTGACCAGGAGCAGTAGCGGCAGCAGCAGCAGCAAAACGAAACCGCTATGGCTGATGGTCCAGCTAATCCTATCGCTGATCTCGGGAAAGCCGCCGGAAGAACCGCCGCCGCCTTCCCCGCCGCCGCCGGACACGCCGCCGCCGCCATCGGGGACGAAGCTGATCCTGCTGCCGAATAATGCTCTGGGAGCGCGGTGCCTCGATGGGAGGTGAGCCATTCGTGGGAGTCTCAACTCTGCATGCATTGATGTAGGCGTATTATTATTTTTTTAGCTGTCTTTAAGAAACGCCTGTTTTTGTGACTTGTACAAAAGGAAGCGACTTAGTGCGAATTCTACAAGATTTTTCGACCGTGAGCCCCTTATTTTTTCCTTGCGCCTCAACAATAGACGCCTTTCGGACCCATCTCCTAATAAGGCGGTTGATCATTAACCCCTGCGCAACTCCCCATCTCTTTCCTCCACTCCCCCACCTCCGTCCCCCTCCTCCGCAACCCCTGGCTCAAATATTCAAGTCAGTTCACATTCGACCGTCTCCCCCTGCACTCCGCTCCCCCACCCCTCCCCCCCTTCTCCCGTTCCCTCCCTTCCCGCCCCTCCCCTTCTTTCCCCCTCGTTCCTTTTCGTTACCGCGCACCCTACATGTATTACGTCCCCCTTACCCCTCTCCCATCGTTCGCTGCCCCTCTTGTGCATCGCCAAATTATCCCTCTCCCCTCCCCCTACCCGCACGTCCCTCATGTCCCCCCTTTCCCCCCCCCCACTCCCCCCCCCCCACCCCTACCCCCGCTCTCCTCCCCCTCTCCCCACCCCCCTCTCCATCATCACCTCCTCCCCGGCCACCTTCTCCCGCCCGTTCCGCCAGCGCGCCCGGGTACTATTTCCGCGCGGGGCGGGGCGCGGGGCGGCTGAACTGGCACATATTCCTTCCGCCGGGAGCGTGGTGCTTCAGCGCGGCGGAGTGCGCGGAACGCGCGGGGACGAACCTGGGCTCTACTAAAACGTATCCGGTCGACGGCACCACTAAGGTAACGAGGTGAATTCTGAGTGGACTCAAAAGTCAACGTGCGGGGTTGTCTTTTGAGTCAAAACGCACGAGGTGACTTTTAAGGTAAAGAGTTTACTCAAAAGTCAACGCGCGGGGGCGAACCTGGGCTCTACAAAAACGTATCCGGTCGACGGCACCTCTAAGGTGTGCGCTAATTATGCAACCCTTGGTTCTATCTTCGCGTCTCGTTGTGTCGTCACCTCGTCGTTGCCTCTTATGGCGTCAATTCGTTATACAGTATAAGCCTTCTTTTTTTTGTATGATACATATGTATAGCATGTCCTTCACTTCGAAATCCCTCCAGCGCATGGCCGCTCCTCTGCATACGTTCCCCCATCCCCGCCCCGCCCATCCCGCACCTCAAATCTAGGCCCACCAGGCACCAACGGCATTCCGACCAGCCCCTGATAGTCTTCTATCTCTCCTTGAAAACCCCCAGCCCCTGATAGTCTTCTATCTCTCCTTGAAAATCCCCAGCCCCTCCCACCGCTCCCACCTGTCAGCGACGATTCCGTCAATCCGCGAACCAGCCCCTGATAACCTTTTCTCTCCCCTTGAATCCCCCCTCGCGCCCCTCCCGCCCCTCCCGCCCCTCCCACCGCTCCCACCCGTCCGCTCCGTTCCCTCAGAGCAAGGTCATCAGCCCGCCATTCAACGGCATACTGAGCGGCGACGAGTCCGTCAATCCGTGAACCAGCCTCTGATAGGTTTCTCTCCCTCCTTGAACCCCCTTTCCCACCACTCCCACCCGTCCGCGCTCCTCCAGAGCAAGGTTATCAGTCCCCCCTTCAACGGTATATTGAGCGGCGACGGTTCCGTCAATCCAGCCTTCTATAACTGGAACCTCGTACGAGTCGTGTATTGTGACGGCGGCGGTTTTCTCGGAACTAGAGGGCGGGTGTCTTCTAACGGGGATGTGGTGTACATGGACGGATGGAACATTATACAAGCGATTCTGAAAGGTGAGCCAGAGGCATTGCGTGTCGCATGCATTATTGTGAGAGTATTCAATTTGCGCAGGTAGAAAACTGTTGAGTTTCTACAGCAACCTCTGGCTGCTTTAACTGGGTTTTGCCTCTGATCATCACACATCTACTCACTCCCTCTCCCCTCCACTCCCCTCGCTCTCTCTCACCCTCTCTCCTCCCCCGCTCTTTACGCTCCCCCCCCCGCTTCTCCCCAGACCTCCAGGCCAATAGGGGCATTCGCTCAGCCTCGCGCCTGCTCATTTCCGGGAGCTCCGCTGGCGGGCAGGCGGTGGTGCATCTGTGCGACACCATCGCTGCTGCTGTTCCCTCCGCTAATGCACGCTGCGTCGTCGACTCGGGGTTCTTTGTTGGTGAGCATGTGGAGAGAGGAATGAGATGAGTGTGTGTTGTTCGTGTAACAGCAGGGGCACGTGTCATGAGTCGCTTCAAAAGGCGCCTTTTGAAGCGCCACAAGCAGTTGCTGTGCCTTCCTCTGATGCGCGCTGCGTTGCCGACGCGGGGTTCTTGGTTGGTGAGCGTGGTGAAGAAGGAGGCACGCGTGTGTCGTGTATGGCTTGAGGGGGAAGGGGCACGTGTGTTGAGGCGTGTGGAAAACAGCTAATGCGTGCTGCGTCGTCGACTCGGGGTTCTTTGTTGGTGAGCATGTGGAGAGAGGAATGAGATGAGTGTGTGTTGCTTGTGTAACAGCAGGGGCACGTGTCGTGAGGCGCCTCAAAAGTTGTGTGTCGCGGCATGAAAACAAATGCCTGCTGCATAGTTGGCTCTGGATCCTTTTCCATTGTGCATGTGGAAACAAGGATAGATGTGTCTTGTGCGTGTAAGCAGGGTACTGTCTATTGTGCAGCAGTCCTTTAGCTGGCTTTAGTGGCAGCCTTTTGTCTTAGAAGCTTTGGTCATTCTGTGAAGTATTCGATATTGGAAGGCTTACTTATGTTTTGTTTGGTTTTGGCTTACATCTGTTGTGACAGCAACTCAACCCCCCTGCAACCCGCTCCCCCTACCCCCAGCTCCCCCACTCATTTCTTACCCCCCCCCCCCGTGCTTTCAACCCCAATCCATTTCCGCCGCCCCCTTCGCGCCTTTCCCCCGGATCAGATTCGGAGGACCGCAGCGGCAACTTCTACTTCCGCTCTCTGGCGCAGAAAATGGTGGCGCTGCACCAGCCCAACTTCGGGGACTGCGCGCAAGGTGACGCGTCGAAATATTCATGCGCTTACTACAGTTCTGTAGGAAAGCTCTATATGTTCCACGGAGTCTTTTTGCTTCCAGCACTCTCTATATTGCTGAGAGAGGCTGTCATTTGGTCATCTATCTTCCCTCATCTCCCTTCCAGTCCCCAGATTACACTGATAAAGAATTGAGTGTTACCACAAATGGAAGTTCTCCCAAACACAATAGCGCTCATCTCCTTGTTTCCCCCCTCCCCCTCCCCCTCCCCTTTCGAACGTCACCCGTTGCAGCTTACTCCTCTACATACCGGTGGCGTTGCTTCTTTCCCCAATACACCATCTCCCGCACTGTTTCCACGCCTCTCTTCGTTTTCAACACGCTTTTTGACAACATTGCTCTCACCATTGGAAAGCAACTGCCGAGCGAGAAAGCATATGTGAGTCAATGCTTAGGGGAGATTCTAAACAGTTCAGGTAATATAACCAATATAGTTCGGACGAGATCATGGGCAGGTCTACAGTGGAGCACGAATTACTGTACAAGTGCGGAAAGAGAAGCGATTTTTGAAAGCGCGTTTATGGTTTATAAGGAGACTATTGCGTTCGATGATGCGAAGCCATCTGCGAAGGTGTTTCTGCCAGCTTCGTCAATCCACTGCGCAATCTTTGGAGCGACAAACTGGAATAAAGGGATGATAGGAGGGGTTTCTTTTAATGAGGTTTTACAGGACTGGATGGGTGTCTGAAATTGGGCAATAAAACATATACTTTTGTTGTACACTTCTGCTGTAACACTGAATTCAGCTGGACCACTTTGTACCACATTGAAAGCACACTGTACAGTTCTAACTTTTAGAGTGGCAGACCAATTGATGTGTTGTACGGTAGTAGGGAAGAGCAGCATGCTACCACGGATCTGTGCTCATGAAGAAGGGCTACCATACCAATAATAGACTCACTCACCAACACACACTCTCTGGGCACACAACATGCAAAGTATCAGGTGCGGCTTCTCGATACCCACACATGAACAGCCAGTGATATTCACAATCGGCTCGTATGACCTGAGCTACCAGTGCCGGCACCAGCAGTAGCGGAATCACCGGCAGCGGGAGCAGCAGAGGGAGGCAGCAGAACTACCTTGCCAACTGCCTTGCGCTTCAAGAGAGTGACGATTGCTTGGTGCACCTGGAAGGTTGCCATTACAGGCAACAGCATAGAGGAATCCAGTCCAGGTCAGAACAGCACAGGCAATACTATGGCAGGGGAGCACGGAGTGACTTTTGAGTCGACTCAAAAGTCACTACAGGCAACAGAAGAGAGGAATCCAGAGCAGAGCAGAACAGAGCAGAGCAGAGCAGAACAGAGCAGAGCAGAGCAGAACAGAGCAGAGCAGAGCAGAACAGAGCAGAGCAGAGCAGAACAGAACAGAGCAGAGCAGAACAGCAGAGACAAAACCATGGCAGGGGAGCACTGAGTGAAGCAGGGCAGGGGAGCAAGAAGTCAGGAGATGGCACAGGCAGGAGAAGAGGGGGGAAGGGGAAACATGAAGGGAGGGTTGGGGAACACAATGGGGGGGTGGATGAAGGAGCGAGGACGACAAATTGGATAAGGAGAAGGGGAGCAGGGAGGCAGGGAACACCCCATGCAAATACGGTGCTGTAGCCATGCGCCATCCGTGTTCCAGCCATCCATGTGCAAGTCGTTTGGGGTGACCCTCACTGCATGCGGTAGCAATGCGGTAATCATGGGTAGCAATGCGGTAATCATGCACTAGCCATGCGGTAGCCATGTGAGCCCACCTGGTTGAATGTGAAGGAGTGTGAGACGTGCACGGAGATGGCGCCGTTAGCAAGCCATGCAAGGAGTTGATGCATAGAGGCACGGAGGACAGCCGGGTCGTGCTGCATGTAGCTGCCCCTGTACACGCCGTGAATGGTGAGGTTCTGAGCGGGGAAGAGGTGAGGGGCGAAGGAAAAGAGGCGGGGAGAGAGGGGGGAGATAAGGAGATGAAGAGGAGGAGGGAGGGGTGTGAGGGGTGCGATCAGTCGGTTTCATTGTGGTGCAGTGACTGTGTAACAAGCAGCAACTTAGTTACATTTCCCGCATGCTACCTTCACCACATGTTCACTTGACTTTTGAGGCGCCTCAAAAGTCGCAGCTGGTTTTTGAGAATTCTCAAAAACCGGCGCCTCAAAAGTCGCATGCTACCTTCACCACATGTTCACTTGACAAGGGCAATGTTAGCGGGGATACTGGGAATGGCACCGCTGGCAAAGCCGATGACCAGCACGTGCCCGCACCACACAGCGCATCACCACATGACACCTTCACCACAACCTACCTTCACGAGAGCGATGTTAGCGGGGATACTGGGAATGGCACCGCTGGCAAAGCCGATGACCAGCACGTGCCCGCACCACACAGCGCATCACCACATGACACCTTCACCCCAACCTACCTTCACGAGAGCGATGTTAGCGGGGATACTGGGAATGGCACCGCTGGCAAAGCCGATGACCAGCACGTGCCCGCACCACACAGCGCATCACCGCATGACACCTTCACCCCAACCTACCTTCGCGAGAGCGATGTTAGCGGGGATACTGGGAATGGCACCGCTGGCAAAGCCGATGACCAGCACGTGCCCGCACCACACAGCGCATCACCGCATGACACCTTCACCCCAACCTACCTTCGCGAGAGCGATGTTAGCGGGGATACTGGGAATGGCACCGCTGGCAAAGCCGATGACCAGCACGTGCCCGCACCACACAGCGCATCACCGCATGACACCTTCACCCCAACCTACCTTCGCGAGAGCGATGTTAGCGGGGATACTGGGAATGGCACCGCTGGCAAAGCCGATGACCAGCACGTGCCCGCACCACACAGCGCATCACCGCATGACACCTTCACCCCAACCTACCTTCGCGAGAGCGATGTTAGCGGGGATACTGGGAATGGCACCGCTGGCAAAGCCGATGACCAGCACGTGCCCGCACCACACAGCGCATCACCGCATGACACCTTCACCACAACCTACCTTCGCGAGAGCGATGTTAGCGGGGATACTGGGAATGGCACCGCTTGGCAAAGTTGATGACCAGCACGTGCCCGCACCACACAGCGCATCACCACATGACACCTTCACCCCAACCTACCTTCACGAGAGCGATGTTAGCGGGGATACTGGGAATGGCACCGCTGGCAAAGCCGATGACCAGCACGTGCCCGCACCACACAGCGCATCACCACATGACACCTTCACCACAACCTACCTTCACGAGAGCGATGTTAGCGGGGATACTGGGAATGGCACCGCTGGCAAAGCCGATGACCAGCACGTGCCCGCACCACACAGCGCATCACCACATGACACCTTCACCACAACCTACCTTCACGAGAGCGATGTTAGCGGGGATACTGGGAATGGCACCGCTGGCAAAGCCGATGACCAGCACGTGCCCGCACCACACAGCGCATCACCACATGACACCTTCACCACAACCTACCTTCACGAGAGCGATGTTAGCGGGGATACTGGGAATGGCACCGCTGGCAAAGCCGATGACCAGCACGTGCCCGCACCACACAGCGCATCACCACATGACACCTTCACCACAACCTACCTTCACGAGAGCGATGTTAGCGGGGATACTGGGAATGGCACCGCTGGCAAAGCCGATGACCAGCACGTGCCCGCACCACACAGCGCATCACCACATGACACCTTCACCACAACCTACCTTCACGAGAGCGATGTTAGCGGGGATACTGGGAATGGCACCGCTGGCAAAGCCGATGACCAGCACGTGCCCGCCCCACCGCATCACGCGCAGCCCTTGCTTGAACTGCTCGCCGCCCACCGTGTCAAACAGCACGTCCACCCCCCCGCCGCCCCTGCCGCCCTTGCCGCCCTTGTCGCCCACCCCACTGCCCGCCCCGCCGCCTGGCCTGCCGCCCGGACCACCGGCGGAGCGCTCCTGGGATCGCTGTTTAAGAAACTGGTTGGTTTGGTCATGGATGGCGTTGGGGTGTGTGTGCTGTGCCGTGTCGATCACGAGGTCTGCTCCCAGTGATGCCAGGAGACTGGCCTTCTCTGCTCCTCTGGGAGATGGGGAATGAGAAGGGGAGAAAGGGGGAAACGGCAAGGGAGAGGAGCAGGGGAGGAGCAACTCCCTGTCACCCGCTGCCCGTAGCGGCCCCGCCCCGTCGCCAGTCGCGGCCCCGCCCCGTCGCCAGTCGCGGCCCCGCCCCGTCGCCCTTGCCTCGTCGCGACGCCTCAGCGGGACCCGCGCGTCGCCCCCGCCTCGTCGCGACGCCCCTGCGGGACCCGCGAGGCGCGGCTCCTGCGCATCGCGACGCCCCTGCGGGACCCGCGAGGCGCGGCTCCTGCGCATCGCGACGCCCCTGCGGGACCCGCGTGGCGTCGCCCCTGCCCGCCGCGGCGCCCTGCCCTAGCCCTCGCCCTGGAGCAGCCGCCCCTGCAGCAGCCGCCCCTGGAGCAGCCGCCCCTGCAGCAGCCGCCCCTGGAGCAGCCGCCACTGCAGCAGCCGCCCCTGGAGCAGCCGCCACTGCGGCAGCCGCCCCTAGAGCAGCCGCCCCTGAAGCAGCCGCCCCTGGAGCAGCCGCCACTGCAGCAGCCGCCCCTGGAGCAGCCGCCACTGCAGCAGCCGCCCCTGGAGCAGCCGCCCCTGCAGCAGCCGCCCCTGCAGCAGCCGCCACTGCAGCAGCCGCCCCTGGAGCAGCCGCCCCTGCAGCAGCCGCCCCTGGAGCAGCCGCCACTGCAGCAGCCGCCCCTGGAGCAGCCGCCCCTGCAGCAGCCGCCCCTGGAGCAGCCGCCCCTGCAACAGCCGCCCCTGGAGCAGCCGCCTCTGGAGCAGCCGCCCCTGGAGCAGCCGCCCCTGGAGCAGCCGCCCCTGCAGCAGCCGCCCCTGGAGCAGCCGCCCCTGCAGCAGCCGCGGAGCCCTCGCCCTGCAGTGGTAGCGGCCTCGCCGTTGCTGCCGTCGTACGCCTGCCCTTCTCGCCACTGGTGAGCACTTCCCTGCCCGTACTGCTGTTACTGCTGCTCTTGCTGCTACTGCTCTTTCTACTGCTACTGCTGCTCCTGGCGTGGCCAAATGCAGCTCCAGCGCCGTCCGCGTGAGTCCCTCGCCCCCCAACAACTTCGTGAGTGGTACGCTAGTTGGGGTTGTAGGGGTGGCCGCGCTGCGACTACTGCTACTGCTACTACTGCTGCTACTGCGGCTACCACTACTCCTGCTGCTCCTGGCGGTGGCCAGATGCAGCTCCAGCGACATCCGCGTGATTCCCTCATGCCCCAGCAGCTTCGTGAGTGGTACGCTACTTGGGGTTGTCGGGGTGGCCGTAGTGGGAGTCGTCCTGGAGTGAGTAGTTCGGGAGCTGCTTGTAGTGGCCAGGTGCAGCTGCAGTGTCGTCCACGCGCGGTCCTTTCGCCCCAGCAGCTTCGTGAGTGGTACGCTCAGCGTGGAGGGTCACGGGGTACTGCTCGCTGTCCGTACGTCATTCGCACTGGTGCTCGGACTGGTCAGCCTTGCGGGACGTTTGGTCACGCAGAGTCCCGCTGCTTCGCCCGTCTGAGCGACGCCTGGCGTACGGAGTTTGGCGACGCGGCTGAGCTCCCCGACTGGGTGGAGCTGCTTAGGCTGAGGGTAGATATCTATGCTCTTGACTATGATGCTATCCTCACTGCCATGTATGCATTGCCTACTAGTGATGAGGGTGACTGTTACCTGTGTGTTCCGCCTGACCCGGGCATTGAGGCTGCTGCTCTAGGTGCTGGTGAGGCTGCTGCTCTAGGTGCTAGTGCGTCTGCTGCTCCAGGTGCTGGTGTGTCTTCTGCCCCAGGTGCTGGTGAGTCTGCTCTCTCAGCTACCACATCGGCTCAGGCCTTACACACCTTCACCCTTGACTCGGGTGCTTCCCGATCCTTCTTTCGAGACCGCACCACTCTCACGCCACTTAGTCGGCCAGTTGCGGTCTCCCGGGTAGACACCTCTGGGGGTCCTGTCCTTGCCCACTTCTCCACTGTCTTACCGTATCCGGCGGCCCCTTCTGGCACCCTGTCAGGTCTTTACCTCCCCTCGTTCTCTACGAACTTGGTGAGTGGTGCTGATCTACAGGATGGGGGGGTTGACTAGTTCACTCCTGCGAGTCAGCGAGTGACCCACTGCACGTGTGCTCGGACAGGCCGACACTTGGCCACGTTTACCCGTCGGCCGGGGTCGAGCCTGTACACCCTGACTACTGAGTCTCCTCCGGTTGCTGCGTCTGGTCAGGTAGTTGCGTCGGGTCAGGTGTTTGCTGCAGCGTCCAGGTCTGGTCCTGAGTCTGCCCCCTGCTCGTGTCGTCTCCTGTCTCACCAGACTCTCCTCTGGCACCACCGCCTTGGTCACCCCTCCTTGCCTCGTCTCCGAGGCATGGCCTCCCGTGTCCTTGTCTCTGGTCTCCCCCGGTCCCTCCCTCCTCTTCCTCCAGGGCCTGCCCCTACCTGCGTTCCCTGCGTCGAGGGGCGGCAGCGCGCCGCTCCTCACTCCTCCGAGTTTCCTCCGACAGAGGCTCCGCTGCAGACCCTTCACCTGGACGTGTGGGGCCCCGCCCGCGTCCGTGGACAGGGTCACGAGCGTTACTTCCTGTTGGTGGTTGACGACTACTCGCGTTACACCACAGTCTTCCCCTTGCGCAGCAAGGGTGAGGTCACTGAGGTGTTGATCGAATGGATCCGCGCAGCTCGTCTCCAGCTCCGAGAGAGTTTCGGCTCGGACTTCCCTGTTCTGCGTCTGCACTCCGACAGAGGCGGAGAGTTTTCCTCTGACCTTCTGCGGGCCTTCTGTCGTGCACAGGGCATCCGCCAGACGTTCACGCTTTCGGCCTCTCCACAGCAAAATGGGATTGCTGAGCGCCGCATTGGTATGGTCATGGACGTCGCTCGTACGTCCATGATCCATGCGGCAGCTCCCCATTTTCTGTGGCCGTTCGCGGTTCAGTACGCGGCGCATCAGATCAACCTTCAGCCCCGGGTCTCCTTGCCGGAGACCTCCCCTACTCTGCGGTGGACGGGGAAGGTTGGCGATGCGTCTGCGTTTCGTGTCTGGGGATCTCGGGCTTTTGTCCGCGACTTGTCTGCGGACAAGCTGTCCCCCCGTGCTGTTCCCTGCGTCTTCCTTGGCTTCCCCCCTGACGCGCCTGGTTGGCAGTTTTACCACCCCATCTCGCGCAGTGTTCTGTCCTCCCAGGACGTCATGTTTGACGAGTCGGTCCCCTTCTACCGTCTCTTCCCCTACCGCACTGCCCCGCTCCCCCCTCCGCCGCTCTTCCTCACGCCAGGTGCTGCCTTGGTAGACCCCCTGCCTCTCCAGGGTCCTGCTCCCTCAGGTGTTTCCCAGGTAGACCCGGTCGAACATGTCGAGGTAGCTGTCGACTCTGGTCCTGCGCGAGGTACTGAGCGTGCTGAGCCTGAGCGTGCTGAGCCTGGTGGTGTTGGGTCTGGGGGTACTGAGACTGGGGGTGCTGAGCCTGGGGGTGCGGAGACTGCGGGTGCTGAGCCTGGGGGTGCAGAGACTGCAGGTGCTGAGCCTGGGGGTGCTGTCCCTGGGGGTGCTGAGTCTGGAGGTCCTGAGCCTGGGGGTGCTGCGCCTGGGGGCGCTCTCTTTTCCCAGCAGCTGCGTGAGTGGTACTCTCGGTACTGTCGCAGCCTCCGTGGTGCTGCTGGAGCTGGAGCTGAGGGCGCTGAGCCTACTGGAGTTGGTGTTGCTGCTGACCCTGGGGTCGGCGCTGGAGGTGCTGGAGCCACTGGTCCTGGAGGTGCTCGTACTGGGGGTACTGGAGCTGCTGGGACTGGGGGTGCTGCTAGAGCTGCTGGAGCTGGTCCTGCTGGAGGTGCTGCTGGTGCTGCTGGAGGTACTGGAGCTGCTGGTGCTGGTCCTGCTGGAGGTGCTGGAGGTGCTGCTGGTGCTGCTGGGGGTACTGGAGCTGCTGGGCCTGGGGGTGCTCCTGGTGCTGGAGCTGCTGGCGGTGCTGGAGCTGGCGGTACAGCTGGAGTAGGTGCTGCTGGAGCTACTGGAGCTGGAGCTGCTGGGGGTGTTGGCGCTGGAGGTGCTGCTGGCGCTGGTGAGTCTGAGGGTGCTGGAGTTGGCGCTGCTGGAGCTGGAGGTGCTGCTGGCGCTGGTGTTGCCGCTGGGGGTACTAGTGCTGTCCCTGCTGGTTCTGGAGGCGCTGCGCGGCCGCGGCCGTACTTCGTTCCGCTCCTTGAGCAGGTTCTTGGTCTCCCGCCTTCTACTGGTCCTGCTCCTTCCTTAGAGTGTCCACCGCCTGTCCAGTCGCAGTCCCAGTTACAGCCCGCCTCCCCACTGCCTGCTCCTTCTCCCTACACTGGTCCTACTGGAGGTCTTGCTGAGCGTCGCGCGCCTGCGTCTCGTCCTGCGTCGCCTGTTTGTGCTGCTCGCACTAGTCGTCGTGTTCCGCGTCAGCGTCCTCCTGCGGTCCCGGGCACGCACCAGATGGCACTGCGTCCTTCCACTGCTCCGCAGCGTGTCCCTTTGCCGTCTCCTCCAGAGTCCTCTCTTCCTGCTCTTGCTGACCCAGAGTCTGACTCTCTTCGTGCTGCCAGTCCTACTGTCACGCATCTCCTGGCTACTGTTGTCACTGACCCTTCCTTTGAGTCCACTGCTGCGTCTGCCTTAGTTGCTGAGCTTGTCGACTTTGCTGCTCGCTGTCGTCTAGACTACGCCACTAGTCTTGTTGCTGAGTCTGCGTCTGTCTGTCCTCCGTCCGTCGGGGGTGAGTGTGCTCTTAGCACGGACGTCCTCGAGGACAGGCAGGAGGAGTTCCAGTGTTTTGCTGCTGCTTTGCCTCATCTCGTGTCCATGCTGATTGCCCCTGAGGGAGACCCGGATGCACCAGACATCCCGACTCCGCGGTCTTACGCAGAGGCGATAGAGGGTCCCTACTCCTCTCAGTGGCAGTCAGCCATGGACGCAGAGATGGCTTCCTGGAAGTCCACAAGCACCTACGTCGACGAGGTTCCCCCACCTAGGGCGAACATCGTCAGTGGCATGTGGATTTTCAGGGTGAAGCGGCCGCCGGGTTCTCCGCCTGTCTTCAAGGCGCGTTACGTGGCTCGAGGCTTCAGTCAGCGGCAGGGAGTTGACTACTTTCAGACCTTCTCTCCCACCCCGAAGATGACCACTCTTCGGGTGCTGCTGCACATAGCCGCTCAGCGCGACTACGAGCTTCACTCTCTTGACTTCAGCACTGCTTTCCTACAGGGCAGCCTGCACGAGGAGATCTGGCTGCGCCGCCCACCTGGCTTCACTGGGTCGTTTCCTCCTGGTACCCAGTGGAGCCTCCGGCGGCCAGTCTACGGTCTCCGCCAGGCGCCCCGTGAGTGGCACGACACACTGAGGACTACACTTGCGGCTCTTGGGTTTGCTCCTTCTACTGCCGACCCATCGCTGTTTCTACGCACCGACACCTCTTTGCCGCCGTTCTACATCCTCGTGTACGTCGACGACTTGGTCTTTGCTACTGCTGACACCGCTGGACTCGCCCACGTCAAGTCCGAGCTGCAGAAGAGACACGCGTGCACAGACCTGGGTGAACTGCGCAGCTACCTTGGCTTGCAGATCACCCGGGACAGAGCACAGCGCACCATTACCCTGACTCAGTCACACATGGTGCAGCAGGTCCTTTAGCGCTTCGGCTTCACGTACTCCTCGCCACAGGCCACTCCTCTGTCTACTCGCCACTCACTCTCAGCTCTGCCTTCGGATGAGTCCGTAGAGCCGAGTGGCCCGTACCCAGAGCTTGTTGGCTGCCTCATGTACCTGATGACCTGCACTCGACCTGACCTTGCATACCCTCTTAGCATCCTGGCACGCTATGTTGCTCCTGGGAGACACAGACCTGAGCACATGGCTGCAGCGAAGAGGGTGTTGCGCTACTTGTGCAGTGCGTCGGGCATAGGGCTTGTGCTTGGAGGGCGGCGTCCAGTGGTCCTCACTGGTCACGCAGACGCTTCTTGGGCTGACGACAAGGCTACGCAGCGGTCGTCACAGGGTTACACCTTCAGCCTTGGTTCCGGCTCGGTTTCGTGGCGGTCTACCCGCTCGTCTTCTGTTCTCGGCTCCAGCTGTGAGGCTGAGATCTACGCAGGGGCCATGGCTGCACAGGAGCTACGCTGGCTCACCTACCTGCTGACTGACCTAGGAGAGCCGCCTCGTTCTCCTCCAGTTCTGTACGTAGACAACAAGGCCATGCTGGCCTTGTGTCGGGAGCACAGACTGGAGCACAGAACGAAGCTCATTGCTCTTCGCTACTTCCTTGCTCGTGAGCTGCAGCAGCGTGGTCAGCTGCGCCTTGCTTACGTGGCCTCTAGGGCCAACACTGCTGATATCTTTACCAAGGCACTTCAGCCTTGTGATCATCAGCGCTTTTGTACGATGCTAGGTCTTGTGTCTACTTGGCCTCACTTGCTCACTTCTTGACCTTGCTTGTACTGTGATCTATCTATACCTGCACTTGCTTGTTTACTTTTATATATAATCCTGCATGTGAACTGGCCTTGTGGCCTTGAACTTGTGCTCGGAATGTGTGGTGACGTTGTGATCCACCCTGAGCTTGCCTTGCTTGACTGGTCTTGTGACCCCTTGTTCTCCCCCACTTTGCCTATGGGGGTGTGTCAAACATCTATGCTATAGTCTTTCTAGGCTATAGTGGGGTAGACAGTATGGGGTACAGTTTTCTAGGGTTACATAGTTGTACCGAACTCATTTCCTAGTCCATCCATTCCTCGTTCTTTCACACGGCATACTTGGCATGAGGTTCGTACAGTACCGTACATACACCCTCTTTCGCGCTAGAAGAGCATCAGGTTGTAGAACATACACGGGTTGTAGAACGTCACCACGTTCACAATGGTCTTGTCACCAACTGTACAAGCATAATGCGAAGAATGCGTTTAGGTGAGGTGATGCACGTTACGAAAAGCTTTGTCAGCGTTTTCATTCGGTTGGGTAAGGTATACAGCGATAACGAAAATATTATGCCCTTGAGCCAGTTAGTCACGTGGTTCTACTTTTCCCCCCAGGCTGCTAGGAATGTTTCATGGCACCTGACCGCATGAGACAAGTACTGTAGCAACGAGTCGCGCTAGGTTATAAGGTTGAGAAATTGGGTGTACATCTCGTTTTCTTCTAGACCTCCAGGACAAAACCGTTTGGGATCGCGATACTCCAGAAGCGACAGCGGCAGGGCCTTATCTGAAGAGTGACCGTAATTGCTGGTCTTTTGCTCCAGCACCTGACCTGCGGTGGGGCTTGTGTTTGAATGCTATCGTATTTGCTCAATGACATCGGAATATTACACATCGGAATCGCAGTTGTAAGTGGTTGCTCAACAACTTCAGCGATTGATCAAAAGGATATCGTCGGGCACAGCGACATTGTTTCGGCCTGCCCATCGTTTTTCTTCAGGTTGAGGAGCGGGCAACAGCAATATGTGCTAGTGGCATAACGGAATAGGCACTCGTCAACAGCTGCTTTGGTTTCTGTCCATATTTCTTTATTACGTGTATTTTTCTCAAATGATAGACAGCTTAATGTGCACCCTCTTCCAAAGCTGGCTGTTGCCAGCTCCATCTGTGCGTTACTTAAAAAGTAGAGGATGGAAAACTGTTTGCATCGTCAACTCAATTGTTGCTGACCGAATTCCGTCACCACTTTACCTCAACAAACCCGTGTCAGCTACAGTTCAACTTCGGTGATGTGCCCGTGCCCCCAAGCGGCACTTCACGGTCTCAGGTTCTGGAAACTGCCACCAACTCCCACCTGCCTTAAACCTCTTCACCGTGCTGTACACTAGTCGCTGTGGTGGTGGCGGTCCCCCCTGAGCTGACCGTTTTCTAGCTGGCGATGCATCCACAGACTTGTGACCATGCTGACTTCGGCATAGACGCCTTCCGCCAAGCGTCAATGAACTGTTGCGCATTATGTTCCGCGCCCCACCAACTCCCCCCACCTCCCCTTCCCGCCCCCCCCTCCCCTTTCCCCCATCCCGTTTTCCTAATTGTGGGGGGGGGGGGAGGTGCTGGCACTCCAAATGTAATCAACGAATTCCCTAATCACGACGCATCGCACCGAGCCATACTGTTCCTTAGTGTCGCAACTGTTTCTTGCCCGTCTGTACCAGGGCTCAGGCTATCAGGGTAAATGCTCGTTCTTGACTGAAAATAAAAGGTATTTTGTAGCCGAACTCGGATTTTTACAGGGGAATGTTTCTGTCAGCCCTGACTGAATCCGAGCACTTCAAGGACTGACTCTGATGAATCCGAGTACTCCCTCCAAGGACTCGGAAAGTTTTCTAAGGCTCTAACCACCCCCGACCTCGCCCCCTCCCCAACATAGGTAGACTTCTCCCCCCGCTTCCTGGACTTGTGAATGCTTTCCTCCCGCCCCTCTGTTCCTTAGTCAAATTCGGAGGCACCTGTACACTTTCGCTGTCTGTGAGCAGAGGTCCACGCGCAAGCATGCACCAACACAGAGTTTCAACATAGCTATTGTCAGAAAGAAGTCTCCATTGCTGCGGAACTATCGAATTACGTAAACGATGAAATTTTAGGCCAACCCTGATATTTCCGAGAGGTTTTTCGGCTGACCCTGTGTTTTCAGGGCATTTTTTTGAAGGGAGCCAAACCGTCCGAGTTGGCAAGAAGCCTAACTTTAGCCCTGGTCTGTACTCACTCCTCCCCTTCACCATCCAGCCACGTCGACATCGGAGGGAACACGGAGGAGTAGCGGATCCAATCAGCGCGAGAAGCGGAAAAAGGGGAAGGAAAGGGCAGAGGGGTTTGCGGAAACCTGGGGAGAAGTGTGACCAAACAAGCCGAGGGCAGACCCGAGACAGCAGCCTGTGGTGTCTGTGGAACGGTGTGGAATGAGATTAAATGGGATTGAATAGGGTGGGATGGAATGGAAAGCCATTCCCAAGCTACTCGGGAGGAAGGTTTTTCCCCGTTGTACAAGCATTGGGAGGGAGGGAGGTCCTCCAGTCAACTGAGATATGCGTGCAGGAGGAAACCTTTTGACTGGCACCCAGAACCATCAAGCCATATCAACCCCCCCCCTCACCACCTCTTTCTCGCATAGCCACCATCTTCCGTTCCTACTTCTTGTACAAGCCAGTTTCATGTGCTTGCATTCATGTCAACCCTAATTCGCTGAGCTCCCACTGTATAAGCTACGTTTTAGTATGCAGGCCATGTTTCAGCTGTAAACCTACGGTTCTCCTGTACATCGTCTTGTACCTTAGATCTCCATTATTAGTGAGTTATAGACTCAACGGAGCTGTCTTCGCCGTAACTTACAGCGCCTGTACTTATTTTAACTTCCACGGTCGAAGTGGTTTTTCTTTTTGCTTTTCGAAACGAACCAGGAAACGCTTACCAGCCAGGCTACCATATCGTGCGCTGGGTGCGACTCTAGCGAATCGACGTTATAGCAGAACGCCATCAAGAGCCATTTTGGCCACCGTCAATCCTACAATCGTTCAGCCCCCCATCTTTGTGTAGACCTTTGAGCCGCAGCCATGCCTCGGGTTTCTTTTCTCGCGTCCAGGCAAAGACCAGCCCCTTGCTCTTTCGATTCGCTTCGTGTCGAATCTGCGGCTTCAGCATCCAACCTGATGGACCAGCGACAGCCTTGTTCTCTCTCAGTAAATCGTTCTCCTTTAAATGCCGTGTCTGCCGCCGCCACTGCCGCTTCTGCTGACTCGAGTGGAGCCCATACTTCTTCCTGCCATATGATCCCCGCTTTCCAATCCCGAGTCGGAGTTCGGTTACAATCGACTCTCCGCTCACCAATCTCACAACGGCTGCAGTGGTTGCCCGTGTCGGTTCCTTCTTCGCTTCTTCCTCTGGTGTTTCTGGCCCTCGTTCTCCTCCACTCCGCGTCTCACGCTGAAGCGTGTCCGCGGCGCATGCTGGCCGAGCCGCAGTCTCCCCTCTCGGACCTCGTTAAGGACGACATTGTCTCGCTTATTGCGGAGCTCCACGATATCGATAAGCACTACTCGATCATAACGGCGTACATGGAGCAGCTAGGTGCGTCGACGTGGAGAGCACAGCCTAATTCTCCGTGCTTACGCTATTAGTTTCCGATCCCTTCTCTGGCTCTCTGATTCTCCTATTTGCTTTTCCTCTTGCCACCACGGCTACGGTTACTTCTCCTATTGTTCCGCGTTCACAATTGATCCACCCGTGGACCCCTTTCGATATTGTCCCCGTTCTCTTGTTTTCTTTCCTCGAGCATCCTGTCCTCTCTTTTGCACCGTCCTCTCCCATTTCCCCTCCCACCTGTCCGCTTCTCCTCCTCATTCGTCGCTCACCTATCCTCCCTCCTCTCCCCACTTCCACTTTCCGTCCCATCGCCGCTCCTTTTTTACCTTATCGCAGTGGCGGTTCCTAACGCGGATTTCTCATGGGGCGTGAACACCACGTGGCTGCTCCCGACGGACAAGGCCATCAACACGGCTCGCAAAAAGGACAAGTCCTTCACGGGAACCATCTCCCCCTGCCATTTTATCCAATATCGCCGCGCGTACAGCCGGCAGGAGTGCGGCGAGCCGCTTCCGCTCGTCCTCCTCCCCGGCAACTGGACAGCAGCGGCTGCAGTTGGAGGAACTGGTGCGGATTTTGGCGGGACCGTGTGTATTGTGAAGCGGTATTTGCCGCCGCCCACTCGCGTGGTGATTGGGAGTGTGGACGATAAGAAGACAAGGGGAATGATTGTCCACCCGAGTTTGTATGAAGGAAACTACATCAGTGCACACGGTGTTGATTCGCTGATTTTGCCTTGAGGGAGTACAGCTTTCTGGAGGGAATAAAGCGCCCTTCCGTGACATGCAAATAGTTGGGGATTGTTGCTGGGGGTTTGGAAATGAAGGTAGGGAGACGGGTGGTCTAAAACAGTTCCCTGATGGTATTAAGGTGCAGAGCAAACAGCAAGTTTTCCTGTCCTATCCTGATAGATGCTGTCAGCTTAAACTGTCTCTTTTGCTTTGAATTATTGTTAAATTTCCCTTCGTACCTACTGTAAATGGAAGCATGTTTGTACACCTTTCTGCTCCATGGCAATCTTGAGGAGGCTCCCATCCTAGTTCCTGTTTCTACACCCCATTCCCATATCCAATATAGACATCACATGACATTGGTTCCACAAAGTTAGCACCCCTAAATCAAACGGGGCTTTGAAATAGCACAGCGTTAATCCCCTGTGCCGTGAAGTAGGGCCCCGAATACAGACTCGGGTGCACAATCTGCGCTCGAGGCTCTTCTGCACCCGCAGGACCTAGGTACACCACGTTTTCAGCAGGGGCATACCGCTGTAATACACTCCCCAGCTGCATGGTATTCACCATCCAACCCTCGGGCTGGAAGACGATGGGTAGCGGCTGGCCGCACACTTGCTTGCTGAACTCGAAGCGGCCTTTAATGATGTGGTTCGGGAGGAGGGAGGAGAACGCTGAGCCTTGGCCGCGGTTGATACCAGAAGCGGAGAAGGTGGTTGTCTTGGGAAGGAGGAACGTGGTGTTGAGAAGGTCCAACAGAGGGACTGGTGAGGACGGCTGCAGAACTGGTGGTGTGAAGGGGAAGAAGAGGAGAGAGAGCGGGAGAGAGGGAGAGCGGGAGAGAGGGAGAGCGGGAGAGAGTGAGAGAGGGGAAGAGCAGGAGAGAGAGGGAGGGAGGGAGGGAGGGAGGGGGAGAGAGAGAGAGAGAGAGAGAGAGAGAGAGAGAGAGAGAGAGAGAGAGAGAGAGAGAGAGAGAGAAGATAGATGTAGAGCGAGTTAAAGACCCAAAGACTTGAAACTCTGTTGTTAGACTTCAACCGAACCGATTGACCTAATGCAACAATGCAAAAATGGGACACGATCCAAGAAACACCGAAAAGAAAGAAAGCAGGCGGCCAGAGAAATCATAAGTCACCAGCATAAGGACTCCATATAATTGACTCCTTGTCGGACAAGTTGTACGAAAGAGACAGTGCCGACCTTGGCGTTATCAGGAATAGAGGGTGCGAGACAATCACTGCCAACGAGGAAAAAGAAGAAGGAAAAGGGGGTCTGAATTGTGGCGTACGTGTATTGACCATGGCCGCGGCGGAATTGTACTGATGAACCTTGAGCAGCGTTTCGCGGAGCTTGACTACCTCGGCGCGAACATCCGCCGTCGTCGGGCCGCTTTGGAGCACGCGACGCAAGCAGGAACCCTCCGCGGCTCGAAGGAGTAAGAAAAGGGCGAGAAAAAAGCAGGGCGCCGCGGCTCGAAACGCAAAATGCGAGCGACGCGATGATGATTTTTTTTGTCGGCGCAGATGATCGTCGGTGGAGGCTGACCGACGGCGTGCGACGACTGGAGACATTAGAAAAGCTTCTTACGAACAAACGAATATATATGTATATAGAGAGGCCGCGACAATGACAATGGATGGATGTGAATCCTTAGGACATCACCAATCAGCGCCGCGAGAGTCTAAATAAAGGAGGAGTTTACGATGTGCACTGCATATACTAGCGCCACGTTGGGAGACGGAGCAGCGATAATTTGCGCGCGGATATTCTGTAATCGTTCTCGCATATTCTGGCCTAAACTGCGAGATCTGATGCTGATAAAACGTACACTTCAACTGGTACAGACGAGATTGCAAGGTGAGGGGCGAAGAAGCTAGGGAACTGCCTATTCAGCAACTGCGAGAGCTGCTAAGATCTGTGGTGAATGCAAATGATAGAGAGACTAAAGGGGCTGAAGCGGGAGGATGAAGAGGACGACGAAGAAGATGAGGATGGAACAACAGGAAAGGAGAAGCAGCCCTGTCCAGCGCTAATGGCAAGTTGGCGTGTGGTGGGGGAGAGGCTGCTGCTTTGCCACGCCAAGCCACGCCAGATGACCATGAAGTTGCTTCCCAACCAGGTTTCAACCAATCAGCAGTTTCGGGTGGAAGGGGCAGTGGGTGGAGTTTGCCAGCAGGCCTCTCTTGCGTTTCAAGCCACTCTTTCATCGGGCGGTGTGCGTAGCACCTCAGGGACTTCAGGGTAGTCTGTATGTGCACCTGATTAGAGTGCTTTCGTCATTCAAACAACCCTTAGTTAGACAGCTTAGATGGGTGATTCCAATCTACCAGCCACAATCGTTCCCACCTCGCACAGATCACCAACCTCGCCAAGCCCTTCTCCTTCCCACCCTTGTTCAAATGTTGTGGAAGTCAGGGTTCCATCATGCTGTTCCGTCTCCCATGCAGCCACATGTGCGACAAACGAGGGAAGCTGGGACGATTTCAGCGCACTTGTGCTGGGAATCCTGGTCTGCAGGTTTTTTTGAAAAGCACTTCACTGGGAAGTATCATCCGCAACTGGACTCGGAAAGGCAGCTTTTCCACAAAACCACCTGGACACCCCAGATGGGGGCAAAAACAGTAATCCGCGAAAACACAACCTTCAAAAGGGTACTCTGAATGACAGCTGCTGCTTCCTTGCTGGGCTGCACCTCACGTCTGGCCATGACAAGTGATACCCTTCAGGCACCTAAGTACACACGAATTGGTGAAGTTAACAACGATTAACGCAGTTCTGTCAACGAAAGGTATATTACCACCCAAAATTCAGCAAGAACGCTGAAACTTATGATATCGTACCAGAAGATTAGACTGTGAAACAGAGGATTGTTAGGTTTTGTTAAAGAGTTAGTCCTAAGTCGATGTTGAACAAGAGCGTTGAGCGGTTTAACAATAGATGCAAACCAGTCTTCCAAACCAAAACTCTTGGTTAGGTCCATTTGCGATACCGCCGTGTTGTCTCCATCTGGGGTAGTCAGTTGGAGGTGGGACTTGTCCAACGGCTGCAACATGCTCACGGCTGACAGCAATGGGAACGTGATGAGCGGCCCCATCGAAGCTAAACACAACTCGTCGAGGGTGCAAAATGTGATGTCTGACATAAACTTTCAGGATTTGGAAAAATAACTTCGATTTAGCCATTTCCAACCACTCTGAAAAAGGTACACGCGCAGACAGAAGGTGTGTGGTTGGTGTATACAACAACCAGGAGCCAAACCTCATGTTTCGGTTCAGGAACGCGTTTGAGGTGAAACAGTTACGGTTCTGTTCCAGACGGTTTCGTTCGGGCCACCCTGGACCTGAAAGAGAGAGGACACACACACACACACACACTATGTTCGTGAGGACGTGCTTGCGACCATTTTCTGTTCGTCTCCCTCTTTCAACCTCCCCCACACACGCACCTCTGTGGACGTGCTTGCGACCATTTTCTGTTCGTCAACCGGTCCCTCAACGATGCTTTGAAGTAACGTTTGTGAGTATATGCTGCTTTTTTAACACATAATTCTTACAACAAAAATATTATCATACAAACGAGGGCATAGACCTCCTCAGGAATTTCGCCTTCTAGATCGCATAAAGAACGACAACAGAAGGTGGACGTGGGATCATGGATTTACCGCCACCTGGGTTCACCCAAGGGCGGATTACAACCCACCCTACGTAAGCCACTTAGGCGCGACATGTTCGTAACTTCCACAAAGAGTTACAACTTTCATTTTTTTGTGAAATAGCGGTACCCTTGCCTTCTCCATGCACCTTCAAATAATGCAGAAAATATACAAAGTTTAGATATTGGAAATTGTCAATGCACACTCATAGATTTGTCTTACATACTAAATATGTTTATGTTGTGTTATTGTAAGGAATTTTCTCGGCATTCCTTACGGAGCCCGACTACATCGCGTACAGCAACAGTCATTGTTCGCCCGTTACTGCTAACGGGACTTCGCCAACTTCGCGCGCACTGTTTTGCCAAACCTCGCACTGCTGGCCCGGCCGTGTCGGCCTACGCTTCGGGACTAGCCCGAGCCTCGCTCCAGCGTAGCACTAGCTAGCTCGCACGCACCGCGTTACCGTTTGCATGTTTCGCATATAAATGTTCGCTCATGCCTTCGCTCACATCTTTGTACTCGTTTGACACCTTAGCGCAATTCTCGCTACTTCGATTCATTGCACCCGTAACACTTGGTATTCAGAGCCCCTTTCTTTCGGACCGCGCATCTCCGCACCCCAGGAAATCAACTTTTGATTTTTCACTCGAAGGGACTCACGCACCTTAGCACCTAGGAGCCGCTGTCCTCGCGTTCTCTCGTAAACGCATGCAGCCACGACCGCGCCTAGACTAAGACGAGCCGACGCCCTTCGAAATAGCTGAACACATCGACGTCACGACTCTCACACATGAGCACTTGAACGATCTGCTGCGACAAATCCGCGAGAGCGCCGAGGAAATTGCGACGCTGACGGCAGAACGCTCGTCCCTGCAAAACGACCTCACACGAGCACAATCCCAAGCACCCGGCACTCCGATTCCGCCCGCACCACAAACATCACAGCACGGAAGTGTGGGACAACCCGCGAGCGCCACAAGTGATGGCGTCGTTCGCCATGACGGAGACGACGACCACGGCACACCACACCCCGACGCGACGAATGCGGCCAGGACTCAGCCTCGAGTCACGATTTCAGTGCCTGCCGGCGGATCAACTCTTCCGTCGCCGATGCCGCTAAAGCCGCAGCGTCCGCCATGCTTTGACCCAAGTCAGCGGGGTGGTCCTACCGTTCAGGCGTGGCTCTTCACGTTGAACGTCTTCTTCGACGCGAACTACGTCTCGGAGGATACGGCGAAGATTCGCTACGCTGCGAGGACCCGCCATGGACTGGTGGCGCGTCATCGTCACGAAGCCGGTGGACTACGCGACTCTACCGACACGGGAAGGACAAACCGGACCCTGGGCGGCGTCG